GAGGAGGAGGAGAGGAGGAGAGGCGGGGAGGATCGCATAACTTAAACAGCACGGTGCACTTGGGGCAGCCAGAAGGGCAGTCGTAGCTGCCTTCGGTGCCTTCCGTTGGCCTCGGCTCCCACATACAGCGAAAGCCTTCCAGCCCCGCGCACTCTGTGTGATTCCGATGTTCCTAAACAGGCTTTTGAAATATATGTGTGTGTTACACAAACAGGCTTTATCTGGTGCCCAACCGAAGACACAGCCAGGTGTCTTAATGCCGGAAGGCAAACTGTTTGACTCCTTCCGTGTTCACCTACAATATGGGGATAAGTCTTTGCTACGTTTTGTTTTGGTTTGGGGTTTTTTTGTTTGTTTGTTTTTAACACTCAGGATTGAACCCAGGTCTGGTTTACTAAGCTACATTCACAGCATCTTTTATTTGAATCTTTATTTTTATTGTGAGACAGAGTCTTGCTAAGTTGCCCAGGCTGGACTCAAACTTGCAATCCTTCCTACCTCAACCCCTCAGAGTACTGGGACTTTAAAAAGATTTTTATTTGAATTTATTTTGGTTTTTCGGGGCAAGTTCTCACTGGCTAGTTCAGGCTGGCCTCAAACTCTTGCCAACTCTCCTGCCTTAGCCTCCCAAGTGCCGTGATTACATGCAGGTGCCTCTTTGTCCAAATCACTAAGAGATTTTTAAGTACATCTTTCACATTGTGATGTCCACCTTGAGCCCTGTCTCTAAACTCATTCCTGAGCGTGACACCACAGCCCTGCGGGATTAAATACTGCATTCTCTAGCATAAAGGGTAAGACCTAAAAACTGCACTCAGAAAGACAGCCTCGTGAAGTCAGTGAGACAGAAGATGCTATCTATAGAAAGGGAATTTAAGTCAAACGTGCTGTTTGTCACCAGATAGGGTTCCAGGGAAGGGACCACAAGGGATTCCTGCAGGAACATGTGTGGCAGAAGATCTATGGGCTGTGGGTCCGAGTTAAGATGGGCTAAGACAACAAGAAACCAGGATAGCGGTTTCCCAGGGTCTGGGACTCAGACCCTGGTGGGACAGCGGCTCCAGGTGGCAGGAGTGCCTGCATGGAACGGATGACCTTGTGGCATCTCATGAAAAGTTCCCTCCTTCCTCCCTCCCTTCCTTCCTCCCTTCCTTCATCTTTACATGATGCCAAGGAGAGACGCAAAGCTGTGATTCACCTGGCTGCTCTGAAACCACACTTTCCTGACACTTGCTGCTGCTGTCTCCCTCTTATTGAAGATGCCGCCGTCTTCTCTGTTATTACCCCATCTGCAAAGAGGAAGCATTTCACCTCTCCCCCTCCTGCTTGTGTCCCTTTTCTTTCCCTCGCCTGATTGCTCTGGCTAAACTTTTGAGAACCACATTGGACAGAAGTGGTGACAGTGGACGTCTTTGTCCAGCTTCAGAGTTGAGAGGGAATCCTTTCAGGTGTTCCTCACTCAGCATGCTGCCAACTTGCACTTGTCCCATACAACTTTCCCCATTTTAAGTTGGGGTCCTTCTACACCTCTTTTCAGGAGGGTATTTTAATCATGGTGGGGTGTTGGATTTTGTCAAACACTTTTTCAACATCTATTGAGATGTTCCTGTGGATTTTTTTTTCTTTGAAGTCATGCATGTGGCATATTGCCTTAAGATACATAAATTAATGGAGAGTTAAAAGAAGAAATGACAAACTGAGAGGCAGACTTCTGGAGATGGGGACAAGTTCCATCTGGAGGAGGAGAGAGGGGTCATAGGATTGAAATTGATCAGCATATATTAAATGCATGTACTCACTGTCAAGAATAAAGCCCATCATGAACTATGAACAAGTAGTAATAAAATTACCAGAGATGGGGAAGAGAAAGAGACCCGGCCCCAACAGGGATGGAGAGGCTTTCCCACAATAGCAGCTTTAAACCTTTTCACTATAGAATCAGCCTGCCTGGTTTCTTCCATAGGAAAGTGAGCCCAGCCACCACCAGCCTACGGTTTTCTCTTAAATTTATGTGACTGTGAATGCAAGCTGATTTCTTCGTCATCAGAAGTCTGTAGACTGCGTTATGGGACAAGGGGTAGGGAGTCCAGTGAGAGTGTTATTGACCCAGGCCCTTTTGGCAGACCATTGAGTATGCTAATCACCGAGTTTTACAAAAGAGAAAATGTCTTGTTACTTGAGAGGCAGCCTCCTGTGGAGGTAGAAGAGTAGGTCTCTGCCTCCCCAAGGGTTGGGCAAGGGACATTCATGGACCTGGACCGAGGCTGGGGAAAAGGGGTTAACTAAGAGCAGGTGAGGTGGGGTAAGTGGTGTAGCTCAAAAATCAGATGACAACGAGGCAAGTCCAAAAGTTAAAAGAAGCGCTTTATTTTAGCTGGTACCCAGCGGCGGTCTCTATACAAGGTGCAAAGAGGCGCGCCGAGCATTAACAAGGATCAATATTTAAGCTTGAAAACCACAAAAATAGGGAAGGGGTGGAGAGGAGAAGTGGCAGGGTCATTAGTTCATTGGGTGGGGTGCTGAAGTCAGCAATCGTGGGGTACAGCGGGTCATTAGTTCATGGGGTGGTCCTTTGGGTGGGGGTGCTGAGTTGGCAGTCTCACAGAGTTCATAAGATAAGAGAGTTTGGGGTACAGATGTCATAAGACTTGGGTCACAGGGGTGAGGAGTTGGGAGGGGTCAGCACATACAGAACAGGAACTCGGCGAGGTTAGAAGGGCAACAAAATGGAGTCAGTTTTGACAAGGTACAACAGTAAGGTTAGAGGATTTATCCAGGTGTCAAGTGAATGCTGATGGTAGAAGAAAGACTGGAGCTGGGAATACATGGGGCGCTGAGAAAAGGATCCTTCCTGGGCGTGGTGGTGAATGCCTGTAATCTTGGCACTCCAGAGGCTGAGGCAGCGGTGTTGTCATGAGTTTGAGGCAACCTGAGCTACATAGTGCGTTCAAGGTTCCCTGAACCGCGTCATGAGCCCGGATCTACAAAAGAAGCCAAGGTGGGGGTAGGATCTGAGGGTCCCCTGGAGACCACCGGCTGCTAGAGAATTCCCTGGAAGGCTGGCTCAGGCCCACATTGCCATAAAGTCCCAGGCCTCCAATGCCTCGTCTTCCCTCTGCAGGCTGGTGCCCGCCCCCTCCACACTCACACAAACCAGGGCTCCCCGCAGAGGAGCCGCTGCAGACCCTCCCGCCGGCTGCTCGGTTGGCACAGATGCCCTCCACCCTGAGCCGCGAGCAGCTGCTGGCCTGGGCAGCGCCTCTTCCACTGCGGCCTCCCCGTGCAAGCCCTCTCTTGATTCCAAGTGTCTGTGTGTCCCCTGTAGGTCAGCCATCACCATATTCCCCCAGAGGACAGACGGCAAGCATGACTTCCGAGTCTGGAACTCCCAGCTCATCCGCTACGCCGGCTACAAGCAGCCCGACGGCTCCACCCTGGGGGACCCGGCGAATGTGGAGTTCACAGAGGTGCGCGTTTGCATGTGTCCCCCACCCCACCCCATCCGGGGTCTCAGATCTATAAACGCTTTACCTGCACACTGCTTCTCACTTCCTGTTATTCTCCCAGGGAGAGCAGCCAGCAGGGAGCTGCCAACACTTCTCCAGACCTGCGCCTGCTTTTGGCTGCCCAACTCCCACCCTCTTCTCGTTCTTTTCCCACTGGGCATTTGGTCATTATCATGCTGGGACCTTGCCCACATCTCCCAATGGAAGCTCTTGTCTGGTTTCTTTTTTGTCACTATTGCCCCATTTTATAGTTGGGTAGACTGAGTCTCACCAATGCCAAGTGAATTATTTAAGGCTCTTAAGTGAGTAAAGGAAAAGCTAGAACCACAGGAGAACTCTGTTGCCTCCCACCAGGAGGTGCCTGATGAAGCCAGGTCTGGCAACCCCTTTTCTCAGCTGGGTACTATGTCCGGCTTGTATTATCTATTCCTGGGTTCATGCGACCTTTTTGGCGGCTTGAGTTCCCCCCACACACCACCCTTGTTGTAGCTGTGTCTGTTCCTGAAAGCCACCAGGAGAGCCCATGCCACTGTCTCCTTGCCCATTCCTTCCAGGCTGTTACACTGACAGGCAGCACAGGTGAGGCATGGAGCTGCGCCCAGGGGCACACCACAGGCAGACCCAATGCCCGTGGCACCTTTCATCTGTCACTCTTCCAAGCTGCTCCTTGTGCCTTCCCAAGCCCCCTCCCACTCACCCTTCACCTCCTACAGGACGGGGCTCCCAAGCCTAGGGTTCTCTGCCCCTCCCTCACTGTCGACTTCATCTCAGGCGGCTCTTCAAAGGAAAATGTGATTATCCTGGAGAAGGGGCCCTAACCAGGGCGGCAGGCGTGGCGCCTGTGCGCGGGAGGCTCTGCCAAACCCTCTGGCCCACTTGGCCGAGTGCTGACGGTGTACTTGGCTGACCTTGCTCACAGTTAGCAGAACATGAACGCCGCAGCCTCTTGCGTGCTGGCTCCCCAGCCTTCGCTGACTGGGACATGCTCTGCTGAGGCCAGGATCCAGCGCACTCGCTGACCATGTGACTGGGCCTGAGAAACCCTCCAGTCCTGTGCTGTCCGCTGGGACAGCCCCTAGCCGCTGGGGACTCCTGAGCAATTCTGATATGGCTGGCTCAGCAGGCGTGTGGTGCCCCTGTAACTCCAGCACGCGGGGAGCCTGAGGCAGGAAGAGAGCAAGTTTGAGCCCAGCCTGGGTAAATTAGCATCTTGCCACAACCCTGCTCTGTCTCAAAATAAAACAAAAAGAGCTGGGAATGTAGCTCACTGCAAAGCCCTTGAGTTCATGCTCCTGTACAAAAGAAAAAATGTAGCTAGTTCAAATTTTAAATTCATCGTTCAATGAAAATACATACCAGGTCGCCACAACTAACAACAGAAAGACAGTGGAAAATAGCTCATAGATAATTCTTGCATTGATTACATGTTGAAATGATAATAGGGGTATAGTAGATTAATACATCAATAAATTAAGTTACTGGGTTAATAAACTACACATTAACTATACTATTAGCATACTTTCACATCAATATATCAGTAATGAATTACTGTTAAGATTTAGTGTTTTTCAAAATGTTATATGCTACACATTTGGTATATATTTGATAAATAAATGTTAAATATTAAATTGCCTAATATAGTTAGAACATATAAATAAATGTTCATATAAAGTATATTGTTGATTTTTTTTTTTCTTTTTTTGTTCTTGGGGTTCAACCCCTTGCCTTTGGGTTTGCCAGCCGGTTGTTTATGCCACTGAGCTATCTCCCTGGCCCTATTATTGAACTTCATTTTATTTTTTATTTTTACTTTTTGGTACCGGGGATCAAACTCATGACCCTGCTCTTGCCAGGCAGATGTTTATGCTGCTGAACTATCTCCACAGCCCGTCTATTGTTGAATTTTAAATTCATTCAAATAAATAGCCGGATGTGGTGGCACACATCAATAATCCCAGCACTCTGTAGGCTGAGGCAGGAAAATCTCGAGTTTAAGACCAGCCTGGATTACGTGGCAAGGACCTGTTTCGAAATAAATAAGGAAGAAACACATTAGTAAAATATTTTAATCCCTTGGTTTTTTTCTCAACGTAGCCAGTAGGGATTTTTGCTTACTTCTGCGGCTCTCCTGACCACATTGCGCACATTTTCCACCGTGAGTCACACCAGAGGCCGCACGTCTTCGTGTCTTACTGCCTCCGAGGCAGCTCTGCAGAGCAAGCCCGCTGCAGAGGAGGGGTCAGAGGCCAACTCACCCAGCACTGGTCCTCCTGCACGCCGCACGCTGTCGCCTTCGGACGGCCCGGCACGTGACTCCACCCGGCGGTCTCTCCGCAGATCTGCATCCAGCAGGGCTGGAAACCTCCAAGGGGCCGCTTCGACGTCCTGCCACTGCTGCTCCAGGCCAATGGCAACGACCCCGAGCTCTTCCAGATCCCGCCTGAGCTGGTGCTGGAAGTGCCCATCAGGCACCCCAAGTAAGAGGACCCTGCAAGGGAGGGGCCCCAGGCCCTCTTGGCCACGCCACGGGCCCCGGCTCTCTGCAGGCGGTTAGGAGGTCTTGGCCCCTGGCCTCACTTCTCGGCTGGGACACAGCAGACTCCTTCTCCTTGGCAGCCTGGCGCCTTCCGCTTTGTAAATCAGATTCCCCTCCTCCCCTTGGCGGGCACCCAATCCCCCTTGACCCAGCCCTTGCCCACCCTCGGGCCTGGAAGAGCAGAACCCCGGGGCCTTGCTGAGGCACAAACGCACGATAGAACAATCCGCTCAACACCCTGCTGACCCTGCGTGGCTGGAGCGCCCAGGGAGCCTGGCCCCGGGCCGGAGCTGTGAAGGCCGAGGCCAGCAGCACACACAGTCCTCGACCCTGGGAGGAGAGGAAAGAAATCCACAGTGAGGCGCTAGACTGAGCAAGGAAGGGGAGAGAGTTGCTAACAACTCGATGGTAGGATCAATAATAGGTGAACGAAGTAATATTTTTTTAAGTCAGTATTGTTTTCTAAAAAAATCTCTGGTGAGCTCTGTAGCAACATTTTGAATAACTACAGAATCCATCTGAAAACAGAGATCAGAATGAGAGGCCGGAAGTGAGCCACCCAGTCTAGAGCAGGGCCCTGTCTGTCTAGAGCTTTGATATTTTGCTTATCCTATGTACATCAACGACATTCATTTCTGTTTCCTTAGTTACACTCATTCAAAATATTGCATAATAGTAGTTTTGATCTTGATTATTGGGCACCATGCTAACTTTTGACTTGGCCCTTGGCTATGTCGTTGGTATGACAGAGGAAATTTCCTGGTGCTTTGAAGCAGGAGGTCACCTGGACCCAATGGTACATCCGGGAGACATTTTCAGACTAATATTTTAGCTGCGGGTTAAGTGTAGATGAGAGATGGAAACACACACAGAAGAGAAGAACCCAGGAAGGAGGAGCTGCCTCTGTGAAGGCTCTGGGTCACCACACTTTCTCGTGGACTCACTCTCAGGGTAGGAATGGTAGGCCAACAGCAGCCCTGGGCATGGTTCTGAGGCCTGGTGTTCATCTGAATTGCATGGGAAATCCGTGCTTACAATGCATATTCTGGGGCCCCAGCATTCCTCAGAATCAGGTGCAGACCTAGGCCCAGGCAGCCCCCCACATCAGCAGCCCCAGAGAAAGGATGTCCCGCCCATGGGTGTGCCCTGAGCGGGGCTGCCCGGCTCCCCCTAGGTTTGACTGGTTCAAGGACCTGGGCCTGAAGTGGTACGGCCTCCCCGCCGTGTCCAACATGCTGCTGGAGATCGGAGGCCTGGAGTTCAGTGCGTGTCCCTTCAGTGGCTGGTACATGGGCACGGAGATTGGCGTCCGCGACTACTGTGACAGCTCACGCTACAACATCCTGGAGGTAAGAGCTCTCCGTGGTGCCACAAGAGACAGGCTGGCTCACACAGGAGCCTTGCATTTGGAGACTCGAGGGGGTCAGAGCAGAATTTACAAGGTGAGAACAGTAGTTAACACCACCCAGCACGTGTAACTTGGGCCACTGCTGTTTAAGCACTTTGTATTCCGCGGAGTATAGTGTCAACCACTCCACAACCTCCACAGAGCTGCAGACCCACAGATAAAGCCGGGCACTCTGCCAGGCCAAGCTCAGGCTGGGCAGTTAAGCAATGTACTGAGAACCTGTCTCAAAATTAAAATATAAGAAGGGCTAGGGATGTAGCTCAGGGCAGAGACTCTGGGTTCAATCCCCAGTACTGCAAAAAAATTTAAGTCCACAGACGCCCAAGACCTTTATATACAAAGACATTGTATTTACACATTGCCAAAGTGCATCCTCCCAAATATTTTTTTTCTCCTGTCTACTCAAATCAAATCCGAAGTGAATGCTGTTACTTAGTTGTTACACCGTGGTTTAGGGGATAATGCGCACTCAGCAAGAAATGTCAGCGCGTGCTCAGTACACGTGCCATTTGTTATCAGATATGTTCCATCCAAGTTAGTTTGAAGCTGTAGATGTGTAGCCTAAGGATAGGCAGGGCTGAGGATCAATCATGTTGCACAGTGTGCGTGTGTGTGTGTGTGTGTGTGTGTGTGTGGCCACTGGTCTCTTTCATTCAAGATAATGTCAGCGTGATTCACCTGTTAAGGTTCCTCAGTCCTCAGAGCCTCCTGCATGACACTTTCATTTTCTCCTTGCCATAACAGTCATCCCATTTCACAGATGGAGAAACTTGAGATCTTTTGGAGGGATCAAGTGACAAAGCTCAAGGTCATGGGACATTTCTCCCCAGCTGAGCATTCTGATGTACTAGAGTCCCAGGACAGAGCTTCCTAAAGCTTGGCTTCGGTGAAAATATCAGAATTGCTGTGTTTTGCTTTGATTCAGGGTTTTGGTCTTTTGAGAAGGTCTCGCTGTGTATCCCGGGCTGACCTTGACTTTGCCATCCTTCGGCCTCAGCCTCTCAAGTGCTGGGATTACAACAGTGCCTGATGAAGCCACGTCTAGGCTTGCTGTCTTGCCAGCACGTGTCCATAGTCGGTTCCGCTGGGCAGCCACCAACCCATACTGACTTCCGGTGGGAAAGGGAAAGATATTTCGAGCAGTTTCCATAGATGGGATTCAAGTTGTATTTGGTGATTTCAAGTCTTGTATTATTTTCTGCAACTCAGTTTTCTTCTTTGCATCAAAATAACACTGTAGAAGAGCAGTAACTGCGAGACTGGCTGCACACAGCTTGCTCTTCCACACACTGGCTCGGTTCTTGCGTGAGCTGATTTGAGATGGTGGCAGTAGAGCGCTGCTTCCTGCAGATCCATCTTGGGGCCGGCCAGACCCCACAGCCTTGGCCTGCGGGATTGAACTAAGCAGTCCTCTCTCTGCTCGGCATAAATCTCCCTCTCCCTACAGCGAGACCCAAGTCCCTCCCAGTGACTAGCATTGACAGAGAAAGGGAAAAGCCAAGCTCCGATGAAGCGAGCTGCTCCTGAGTCTTCCACCCCCTGACGTCACCCCGGCCTGCATGTCCTGAGTTGTTTCTGCTCAATCCCTTTTGCCAGAGGTGTCTGCTGGGAAGGAGGCAGCTCCAGGGTCTTGGGTGGTAGGCATCCCATGGCTTCTCTTCGAAGGCCCACGGGCTCTAGAGAGCTGGAACATCTTTGAGTACTTTGCTGAGCCTCAGTTTCCCCACTTGTCAAATGGAATGCAGGAGGTGTCCCTGTAGCCTCAAAGCCCACGGCCTAAAGCAGTGGCAGCAAACCCATGGCATGCATGCCACACAGGCTGTTTGTGTCGCTTCAGAGCTCCTAAAGGTTCGCCATCGCCAGTCTAGTGTCTGAGTAATAATCAGCATCTGAGGAGGGAAAATAGAAGAAACCAAGAGAGCTTTTCCTGGAAGCAAATGACGTCACTCTTGGACCTAAATCTCTGCTTAAACCCCTTCGAGACCTTGTCACATGTAATAAAGTCCTGATAGCCCCCCCAGACCCTTCAGGGTTGTATGCCATCCAGTCCTCTCTCCACCAACGCCCCTTGCTCGCCACCCTCCAAGCACACTGACCATCTTTCTGCTTCTCAGATGGCCCACGCCAGACCCACCTCAGGGCCTTTGCACTTGCTGTTCTCTCTGCCTCCAGTGTCACCCTCCTGGCATCTGTAGGCATCGTACCACTCATCATTTACATGAGAGATCTCACCTTGTGTCCCGTCTCCAAAGGGAACTTGCTGCGGCAACCCTTGCTAGATTAGCCCAGCCCCTCATCCCTCTTCCTCCCATCCCCTTGTCTTCCTTCCTTGCTAGGAGTCAGCAGCCTCCCCCTTCCTTGAAAAAAAAAAAAAAAATACACTCAATAATTAAAGTGCCAGCAGCCACATTTCAAGGTTCCTGCTGCCTGTAGGTTCCCAGTCAAAAAGAATTCTTTTGAGAAAATTAGTGATTCAGTCAGCCTGTGAGCGGGGTGATTAGGTAGTTGAGAACTCACTAATGACACCAGCCCTGTCCCTCTCTAATGAGTGGCCCTGAGGAGGCTGGCATGTAAGCCTGCGTCTCCTTCACCTCACAGGAAGTAGCCAAGAAGATGAACCTGGACATGAGGAAGACGTCCTCGCTGTGGAAGGACCAGGCGCTGGTGGAGATCAATATCGCCGTCCTCTACAGCTTCCAGGTACCACCGGGGTGGCTTCACCAGGCCCAAGGCCAGAGGGCAGCGGAAGTGTTCTAGAGCTTTGGTGCAGAGGGTCAAGAGACCCAGCCACCAGGGATGACCTGCAGGGGGCGTCTGTCCCCCAGCATGACCGGCTTCCTGCCTGCATGTCCTCCTGTCCTGGGTCTGGCTGGGGACCATTTGGTGAAAGGTAAATATGTGATGATAAATAAGATCCCTAGCCTCTTCCTTCACCCTGATGGAGAGGTGATGGGGGAAGGAACACTGTGACTTGTTGCTTTTGATTCTTTAGAACGAGATGACATGTGTCATCTGCCTCTTGTCATCTCAGGGATCAGATTCAAACTGTCATATAACAGAAATGAGTACTCCCCCTCATTATAGGAGCCATAGAAGCCCCTGATAAGTGGCATTATAATAGGATTGCCAGAACAGCCATCATTTAAACCCATGATGCTTTTGAGAGCATCATTAATTATGCTAGGACAACAGGCATCAAGCAGGACTCTTTGGGTTTTGCAAAACAGGGCCATACAGAGCAGAGATGAGTTTCATAGACAGCAAGGGAGAGGGTCCCATATGGGCAGGTAGGACCATGGGTGTCAGGCACACGCAGACAGTAGGATAAGCAAGTCTCAAGCAAACCAGGAATGGATAGCGGGAGAAACCACATGTCCCTGTCTTTCCTGCTTTCCTTGTCACTGAGTACAACACCGGACTCCTACGACTTAAAGGGGAAAAGGTTTATTTTGATGCAGTTTGTCGAGTTTTTAGTGTGTAGTTTGCTGGCTCCAACACAGGACAGTATGGCAGACGGGCATGGTGGAGGAGAGTTGCTCAAGGCATGGCTCACAGGAAGCAGAGAGGAGAGGCTAGGGACCCTCCAGGCCACGCCCCCAGCAGAAGAGGGACTCGCCTCTTCCAACCAGACCCCAGCTCCTAACAAAAACCCAATTGCAAGTTCCCATAATCCAATCGCCTTCCAAAAGCCCCACCCATGGGTGCATGAGAGCTTGGGGGACATCTAGCTCTAAACCATAACAGTCCCCATATCAGGAGTTGGGAGAGAAGTAGGTACACTGATGGATTTCACAGAAATGACACAAGTTCAGTCAGGCCAAGGGGAAAAGAAAACACCTCCCCCTGAGCTTTAAGGAGCTTTTGAAATGGCTTGGCTCTCTGTGGACCAGAATGAAGACTGGTGAGTCAGAGACAGCAAGGTTGGACAAGAGATGAGTGATTTAAAAAGAATGTAACCCAGGCACTCTGGGAGGCTGAGGCAGGAGGATCACAAGTTTGAGTCCAGCCTGGGAAGAATGAAAATGGCTTGGGGATGAGACTCGGAATGAAGGCCCTGGTTCAATCCTAGCACCAAACAAAGAAAAAGGGAAAGAGAGGAGAGTGAAGACAGTGAGGTATGTAAGCAGAGGGTAAGGTTTGGGAGGAGCAATGTGTGAATGCAAAGGCCACCAACCATAGCACGCCCCACACACCCCATCCTCCATGTCCGCCGCGTTTTACTGGTTTTCTTTTTAATCCGCTCATCTTTATGTCTTAAAACTTTGTATACTACAAGGGTTTGATATCACCATTATGAATGAAGAACTCCTATCGATACCCTTAAATGAGAGGCAATTGCAACACTAAATCAATAGCTAAGAAAAACAGGAGAAAGTTGTTTGAGGGCTGGCCAAATAGCTCAGTGGATTAAAGCACCTGCAAGCAGATGCAGGGGCCAAGGGTTTGATCCCTGGGCCTGCTGTGGTGGCACGCACCTGTAATCCCAAAAGCCCCACCCATGGGTGCATGAGAGTTTAGGGGGACATCTAGCTCTAAACTATAACAGTCCCCATATCAGGAAGTGGGAGAGAAGTAGGTACACTGATGGCCTCTATGGCTCCTATAATGAGGGGGAGTACTCATTTCTGTCACATGACAGTTTGAATCTGATCCCTGAGATGACAAGAGGCAGACGACACAGATCATCTCGTTCTAAACTTGGAAGGCTGTAAACAGGCAGATCACTAGGAGTCCGATCTAGTAGTGAGACCCTGAACACCCTGTAGACCCTTCCCTAAATACAAAAAAAAAAAAAGAAAAAGAAAGAAAGAGAGAGAGAGTTGTTTGAGTCGAGCTCATTACCCTCTGAGGTTCCTCCCTATTATTGAAAAAGTGGGGGGCAGGGAAGGAAGGAAGATGGTGAGATTGGTGAGAAAGGTATCAGAGATGCGTTGGCACAGGCGGAGGTCTGTCATGGAGAGAGTCGCAAAGACTGAGAGGGAAGCGTGAAGGGTTCCCTGTCCTCACACTGCCTGAGTCATCTCTTGCAGCCCCCCTAGAGAGGGGAGTCCTGCGATACCCCACTTCTCTGACCCCCCCACTCATCGTCCCCTCTTCTCTCACAGAGTGACAAAGTGACCATCGTCGACCACCACTCTGCCACCGAGTCCTTCATCAAGCACATGGAGAACGAGTACCGCTGTCGCGGTGGCTGCCCAGCCGACTGGGTGTGGATTGTGCCCCCCATGTCGGGCAGCATCACCCCTGTCTTCCACCAGGAGATGCTCAACTACCGGCTCACGCCCTGCTTCGAGTACCAGGTGTGCGGCCCCGCCTCCTCCTACCAGGTCTTCCACCTCGGGCGGAAGGACGCACGGGGGCCCATTTGCCTCCATGGCCTGTGGCTCTTCTGGCACACAGCCCAGGTCTAGCTGCAGAAGCAGCGCACACAAAACAAGAGCAAGAAGAGAGTCTAGGGCTGGACATGATGTGTGTGCCTGTTATCCCAGCACTCGGGGAGGCTGGGGCAGGACTGCAAATTTAAGCCCAGCCTAGGGACCCTGTCTCAAAATAAAAAAGGCTGGGGGTGCAGCTCGGTGCAAAAGCCCTGGGTCCAATCTGCAGAGCCACAGAAGAAGGGAGGATGTTCGTTTGACAAGGACCAAAGGCTGAGCAGAAGGCTGGGCAGCTGATGTGAGAAGGTTCCCCCGGCTGCCATGTCTGAGGCTTGGGCAGTCAGGGAGGCCTGGGCATCTCTCAGGGGAGCCACATTCCCTTGCGGCAGAGAGCAGACCCCATTCTTCTCTTCGCAGCCCGATCCTTGGAATACCCACGTCTGGAAGGGCACCAATGGGACCCCCACCAAGCGACGCGCCATCGGCTTCAAGAAGCTGGCAGAGTGAGTGTTCTGGGGGGACTGGGGATGCCCACAAATTCAGAGAGCCTCAGCAAAGGAAGCCAGGCATATGCTGTACCCTCTGACCTCTTGATGACAGCCCCACTTGCTGCCTTTGCCGGAGTGGGGATGAGCATGTTGCTGTGACTTTTCTCCCTGTTACCTCCAGGCCCCAGGTTCCTAAAGGCTTGTCCTGAAGGCAGCAGTATGTTGGGGAACCAGCTCTCGGGGTTACAGTCCCAGGGCTGCTTGCTTTGTAATGCATGCCAATGTCCATGGTGTAAGCAGCCCCACCGACCAATTTCAACAGGAAGTCATGAGGTGGGAGTTAGAAAGAGCTGGAAACACACACACACACACACACACACACACACACACACACTGCCTAGAGAGCACTCAAGTCTCTTCGCACTCACTCGCTGACGGATCTACACGTTCACTCATCCAGCCAGTGAACAAGTACCAAGTGCTCTCTCTGTGCTGGACACCGTGCTAGGCTCCAGGGATGTCGCACTGAGCCGGACAAACACAATCTCTGCTCGCACAAGCTCACAACCGTCGGCTGTCAGAGGTAACCTTTGCAGCTGCGGTAGACACACTGCGAGGTCACTGGTGCCCTCAACCACACTCTCCCGAGGTCGGGTCATCAGGGAGGGCGACCCTGAGGTGCTGACCACTGACCTGAACGTGAGGTGATAAGGTCTGGCTGAGCAGAGAACGCCGTGGCTGGAGACCACGGAGGGGTAACAGCATTCTCTGTGGCCTCTTGAGCCCACTGACACGTGGGTGCCGTAGACCCTGGAGGTGAGAGCCTGGCAGGCCTCGCAGGGCCTGGCCCCGGCAACGCGACCCCTAGGACCTCTCTGCACCCATAATGATCGCATCAGCAGCATGCTTTCCGAAACGGAAGATCCTGAATATTCTCAGCAAAAACTACCTCTGGCTTTCGTTCACTTCCTGTCTCCAGGAAAAGCAGGGAGGATCCATCTAAAACATTAATTGCACTATTAAGTCGGGGGCGTGGGGGTGGAGGGGGAACAATGGAGTTAATTATAGATGCGGATTTATGCTCGGATCCTTCCAAGGAGCCTCCTGGCACCTTTTATCCTATTCAGCTTCCCCTTCGCTGAGAGTCGCCCTGCCACGTGGGTGGTTTGCCTAATTCTCAAAAATGATAAATTTACCACCAATAAGCCCCAGGTGGGAGATAACTAGCAATTTGTCTACACAAAGAAATTCCTAGTAAGGATAGGAAGGACGGCCCGGGAGTCAAGCCCAGGTATTCCTGAGGCTGCAATAGCTGCCGGCAGAGGAGAAAGAACATTTGAGCTTCTCTGTTTAGCTGGCAAGAGGCAACACTTGACATTTAAACTGCTCAGGGTTTGGGTAGTAGCGTCTTTTTAAAGTCCTAATTTCTTGTACTAGATGTATTCTGAGTGTCTGTTAAGTGCCAAGGTCTGTGCAAAACCCCGGATGTGGGGCCATTCCTTTGAGGATCTATAAATCTCCTAAATCCTGCTCCCTGGATGCGTAGTGTCGTCCTTTCGATTGTGCTCTCAGCCGCGCGCACGCGCGCGCACACACGCGCACGCATGCGCACAGTCGCCCTGTGACGGCTGCTTGTCCCCGGCTCTAATCGCTGTCCCTTAGCGCCTGTAACCATGCCTGGCACAGTGGGTACACACGCATCGAACATTTCATGAATGCATGCTCGCCTTCGCGACAGCGCTTGGTAAAGCAAGTTCTCAAGCGATCAGACAACAAACTAACAAAACCAGGCCGTTAATTTTAACTCAGGGATAACTGCCCTCAGGGGTCCAATAAGGGACTCGGTACAGGGCCCAAACTCAGGAGCTACGAGCGTCTCCGAGGAGCGAATTCTTTGTCATCCAAGTTCGTGAGCCTCGGTGCTGGCCCAGCAGTTCCAGCCTGGTGTCTTCTCAGCCTTGTGTTTCCCATTTCTTTGCTCCTCCCCTCCCCGCAGAGCTGTCAAGTTCTCGGCCAAGCTGATGGGGCAGGCCATGGCCAAGAGGGTCAAAGCCACCATCCTCTATGCCACCGAGACGGGAAAGTCGCAAGCCTATGCCAAGACTTTGTGCGAGATCTTCAAACACGCCTTTGATGCCAAGGTGAGCAGGGGCGGAGCCAGGTCCCCGGGCCTCTGTGGCAGACGAAGTTGGGAAGAGGAGAGAGCGGAGCTGACACTCTTTGACAATAGATAAAAGCGCACCGAGACTACGCACGTGCTTGCACATGTTGGGTAACTGTAATACCCTCCCCTGCAACCCTCCAGGAGTCCAGGAACCATCAAACAAAGCTCCTGTCTCTAGAGAAAGATGTCAGTAGCATAGGACCCCCAGACCATCCTGGGGTCAGATTGGGAAACTCTACACCAAATACAGCTCCAGGGTTTTTCATTGCTGCAGGACTTCTCAGAGCCTTTAACGTATAAACACGTATTATAATCTCCAACCGAGAAAAGGATAGACCAGGAGTGTTTCCCACACACATCTGACATGGACTACTCATTACCACAGAGCACTGAACCTCCTTAGCCCTTAAGTTCAGAAATGTTGTGCATTTGACACTAAGACATAGGGTAACTGTTGTAACTCAAAAATCAGATGACAACGAGGCAAGTCCAAAAGTTAAAAGAAGCCCTTTACTTTAGCTGGTACCCAGCGGCGGTCTCTATGCAAGGTGCAAAGAGGCACGCCAAGCATTAACAAGGATCAGTATTTAAGCCTGAAAACTGCAGAAACAGGGGACGGGTGGAGAAGAAGTGGCAGGGTCATTAGTTCATGGGGTGGTCCTGTTGGGTGAAGGTGCTGAGTTGGCAGTCATACAGAGTTCATTGAGATAAGGTTTGGGGAGCAGATATCGTAAGACTTGAGTCATAGGGGTGAGGAATTGAGAGGAATTTGAGTTGGCGATCAAGGGGTGAGGAATTGGGAGGAATTTGAGTTGGCAGTCAAGGGGTGAGGAGTTGGGAGGGATCGGCGCATACAGAACAGGAACTTGGTGAGGTTAGAAGGGCAACAAAATGGAGTTGATTTTGACGGGGTACAACAGTAACCATCTTTCCCCCAGACAAGTGTCTCAGACTTGTTTGGCCAGGGGGTTCCACTGTGATGGAGGCAAATGGATCCCAGCCTGAAGGGACCCAGAAGAACCCAGTATTAGTGGGTTATAAGAAGCCCTGGGGGGGTTCAATCCCCAGGCCTGCCATGCCAGCCCGGCCCCCAGGGCACACTGAGACAGCATTTGAGACTGGGTGTGGTAGCCTGCTCCTGTAATCCCAGCTCTTGGGAGGTTGTAAACAGGCGGATCATTACAAGTCTGAGCTAGTAATGAGACCCTGAACACCTTGTAGACCCTTCCCTAAAATACAAAAATAAATAAAAAGAAGCCCCAGGGCCCCCTTCAAGATCTCTCTCCTGGGTGGGTGAGATAGCTCAGGGGTCTAAAGTACCTACTTAGGCAAGCTTAGGCAAGTACAGGGACCGCAGTTCAATCCCCAGCACCACATGCTGTGCCAGTCCCAGGGCAGGCTAAGCTGGCCACCAAAAAAAAGAAAAGAAAAATCTCTCCCCTGGCGGCCAACCATTGGACAGTGGCCCAAACTCCTACAATCCCTGAGGCCACAGTACCCATCAGAAGAATCCTGTGCTATCTGGTAGCTTTTATTTTTATTTTATTTTATTTTTTATGTATTTGGTACAGGGTCTCACTATGTAGATCGGACTCATAGTGATTCTCCTGTTTTCAGCCTCCCAAATGCTGGGATTACAGGCATGTGCCGCCACACCCAGTCTCAATCACTGTCTCAGTGCATCCCGGGGTTGGGGCCAGCACTGCATGGGGATTGAACCCTGGCCACTGCGCTCTGCTTAAGCAGGTGCTTTAGTCCTCTGAGCTATCTGGCCGGCCCTACCTGGTAGCTTTTAGCTCTACCCACTGGAGCCCTTCGAAATGCCTGGTTCCTCTTTCAAAGGTGATGTCTCAGAACAACTCCTTTTATGACTTTCTCTCCTCTCTTCCCCTCGCTGCTTCTGTTCTCCCCTCCCCCAACCCCTGCCTCCACGGCGCCGCTAGGTGATGTCTATGGAGGAGTACGACATCGTGCACCTGGAGCATGAAACTCTGGTTCTGGTGGTGACCAGCACCTTTGGCAACGGGGACCCCCCTGAGAATGGGGAGGTGAGATGAAGTTTTCCTTGATCTAACGCATGCCTCTGGCGGCCAGAAGGAGAGTGCTCACCGCAGGACCAGCCCCTGCACCTCTGGGCGGAAGCTGAGCCTCCCGTAACCTCAAAGCCAGGGACTTCCACTTGATCCAAGTTCTGCAAAGCCTGGACCAATTGCAAGTCCTCGGTCTGTTGGTGTCCACTGGCTAAAGCTAGGGAAAACGATCACCTCGCTGGGCAAAGAGTTTGGAATGGATGCTCCAGTCAGGGTGTCCCCTGTTCCAGACATGGGGACAATAATTTCTAGAGAGAAGGCCAAAGAGGAGAGTTGTGCCCCGGGAGAGGGCGTCCCCACCTGTAGTCCCTTCTTCAGCTGGCCTTGTGCTGCACCTACAGCTTTACCATCACTGTCCACCTGAGCGTTTGACCATCTCTCACATCTGGCTCCTGGCATTAGACTCCTCTTTTACCAGCTGGGACCCCAGACCTGATATGCAATTCCATTCCAGGCTTACTAACACACACGCCTCACATTGTGCTTGTCTGTTCTGACCTCCAGAAATTCGGCTGTGCTTTGATGGAAATGAGGCACCCCAACTCTATGCAGGAGGAAAGGAAGTAAGTGAACGACCCCTCAATGTTATATGCCCCCCAACCCAGGGGCGGTAACTGGTCATTAACCTTTGGAGCCTGAGGGTCACACCAGAGTTCTGGGTCATGATAGCTGGACACCAATGGGAGGGATCTGGGGTCCGCTGGGGCTGCTACTTTGTGTAACTGAAGTCACCTCTTAGCTCTGTGCCTCAGTTTCTCTTTCTGTTGAGAAGAGGTTCAAATACCCTGTGTAACTTTCTGCTTGGTAAGAATTGAATCCGGAAGTGAATGGAGGGTTTGGGGAAAGTCCCACACACCATGAAGGTATCAGGGCTTCCTTTGGAAACCCGCATGGAGATTGGGGATAGCTGCCTGGTTCCTCAGGCCTTGTGTGTCCAGGGCTCATGGCAGACTTGCAGCCAGTGTGGACCTCGGCCTCAAAGCCTAGCTCAGATAGCCTCGAAAGAGCCCTGCGGAGGTTCACAGAGAAATCACCACTCATATGGGGCTGGAGAAAGGCAGTTCCCAGCGGGAAAGTACTCGTAACCAAGGTTACCTTGGAAACAGCCCTGCATTTTCCAAGACTGTAGGACCCAGGGCAGCATGCACGGAGCCACCGTTCCCTGAGGCCAGCTTGGCATTTCTTCTGGCCTGGAGCATGCCTCTGAGGCCTAAGAAGAGTATCGAGCCAGGCGCGGTGGCGCATACCTTTAATACCAGCTGCTTTAGAGGCTGAGGCAGGAGGATTGCAAGTTCGAGGCCAGCCCGGGCAACTTAGCATGACCCTGTGTCAAAATAAAATTGATCTAAAAGGGCTGGGGGTAACAGTGGGAGAGCACCCCGAGTTCCATCACCATTGCCTGCCCCCAAAAAGTGTCTCATCCCAGAGCCAGCAGGTGTTAAAGACCGTGTTGTGCCGAAAGTCACTCCTGATGCTCCCTATGCTGAGCATTTTGCCAGACCTGCTCCTTGGCTTCTCAGGGAGTGCATCCAGCTCCAGCAGCGTAGCACCCACCTCTGTGCCTGTCCCTCCCAGCCATCCTGGGGGCCTCCCAGCAGGCCCCGCTCACCCCTCCTTCAGGGAGAGAGAGGGCACCAACCATTCTCCCCTCTAGGTACCCGGAACCCTTGCGTTTCTTTCCCCGTAAAGGGCCTTCCCTCCCCCGTGGTGACACTGAAGCCCACGGTCTGGCTGCAGCCCGTGACAGCCAGCACAGGTAGAGTGTGCGTGCACGCATGTGCATAGGTGTGCAAGTGTGGGTGTGCATGTGTGTGCGCATGCGTGTATATGTATGTATGCATGTGTATGCACGCACGTGTGCGTGTGTGTGTGTGTGTGTATGCACCTGTGTGCATGCATGCCCCATACTTGAGCAGCCCTGGCTGCATCCAAGTCTCAGAGAGACCTGTGTCCTAAACCACAAACTCACTCAGTGACCTTGAGCAGATCTGTTGACCTCTGAGACCCCGGTCTTCCTTCTCTGCTGAGTGGGGAGACATGTCTCTTCCCTGCCCACCCTGGGGGCTGTTGCCAAGGATGGAGGGGTAGTCACAGCAGGGGAAGCATTTGGAGAAACCTCCAGCTTCTTCTAAATACACGTGCTGGTATTTTTACCCCACAACCGTCAACCCTGCCTCCCACACTAACTGCACAGCCACCCCCTGATATGTTGCATGACTTATTTGGAAAAGTGACTCAATGTGAGGCTATTTTGGGGCAGAAAATACACTTCCATATATTTAGAACCTTCTTGATGCTGGAGCAAAACGTTGAAGAACGTCCAGCTTAGACACCCTGTTGCCAGAATACATTTCTTTCTTTCTTTCTTTTTTTTCCTTTTTTAAAAAGATATGCAGATTTGTGTGTATGCAGATATGCAGATTTGGGTTTTTTGTCTTGAGTTTGAGGATTTAGATTGTTTTGCTTGTTTATTTATTGGGTGTGGAGGGTTTTGCTGTGGCATTGTTTTTTTGTGGTTTTTTGGTTTGGTTTGGAGTTGGGTTTGTTTGTTTTTGCTTGCTTTGGTTTGGGTTTGCCTTGTCTGAAAATAAAATGTACCACTTGTAGAGGGAAACTGGAGCTTTTAAGGGGTTTGTTGGTTGGTTGGTTGGTTGGTTGGTTGGTTGGTTGTGGTTTTTTTTTAATCTTCAAAAGGTTTCTGTGACTCTCATGCTGGGTTTGAGTCCCAAGATATCTTCCTTCCCCTCGAAAACAGTTCAGTAAAGTGCAGCGTCCCTTATGCGAGTATCAGGCTGAGCTCTTCCTGTCTCCCTGCACTGTGCCCAGTGGCCAGCCTTGGGGTGTCCAAGGGCCGCAGTCCACAGGAGGACAGAGCTGACTGGCGCAGACTGGCCCAGTCCTTGTGAGCCTCGCGCAGCAGAGTCACTGCTCCGCACAGCGCCCCAAGCCACCGGCCACCAGTGAGCGCCCAGGGTGGCTTGTGCAAGTGAGAACAGCACTCTTACTGTCTTTAATTCTGCTTAGTTTAAGTTTAAAAACCCACACGTGGCCAGTGGCCACCATATTAGAAAGCAGAAGTCTAGTTCCTAGTCCCTTCAGGTGAGTTCCAGGGACTGGCAAATTGGTCTCTCTTGCAAGCTGGTTAGAAATAGTGATTTTTTTCAGGCCTTGCCTCAAACCTCACTGGAATCTGTGTTTTTAATTTTTTTAAATCATTTATTTATTTATTTATTTATTTATTTGGTACAGAGTCTCCCTACGCAGCTCAGACTCGTAGTGATCCTCCTGTCTCAGCCTCCTTAGCCCTGGGATTACAGGCATGGGCCACCACACCTGGTTTCAGTGGCAGTACCAGGGATCAAACCTGAGTCCTTGCACTTGCCAGGCAGGCACTTAGACCACCAAGCTATCTCCCCAGCCCTAAATCTGTGTTTTAGTAAGAGTTCAGGATGATTCTTGCACATTGCAATTTGGGAAGGACAGTCTCATGGTAAGGGGCTGGTGCATTTGATCCCTGAATTCTTAGTGATGGAACCATTTTAATGATATGGGTCTGAAGCTTCCTAAGCCAGGTGTGACCTGACTGCCGTTTAAGCAGAGGCCGAGTCCAGTGCAGAAGAGCAGTTACCGTTGTGCTGGGCATGGGGAAAGTGATGTGCTCTTAGGAGGCCTCCGGGGTGGTATGATCCGACTGTGCGTACATGCAGAGGTACTAGAATCAGAGCCAGTAACTTGAAGATCAAAGGAGGTGCCAGCCCCAGCAGGGAGGGCAGGACTCCACATGGAGCTCATAGGGCCCTGTTTATTTTGGCAGGAGCTACAAAGTCCGGTTCAACAGCGTCTCCTCCTACTCTGATTCCCGCAAATCCTCGGGCGATGGGCCTGACCTCAGAGACAACTTTGAGAGTGCTGGACCCCTGGCCAATGTGAGGTAAGCAGAGGGGTTAGGGGACACAGGGAAGGCCAAGGCTTCTGGGCAGAAATGGAGGCCAAGGCTCTCCATTGTGCCTCTTTCCCTCTCCTTCATCTCACATAATATCAGCTGCACCCTGGGCACCCAGGACCCCACCCAAGGAAACACACTGCTTTTTGACAGCTGTCCCTGTCATCCCCTCTGAGCGCCCCACCTCCAGGGCTCACCCCAGCATCTTTGCCAAAGGTGATTGACCCCAGATATGAATGGTCCCGGACCTGCCCTTCCCAGTGGACACTGATGTGCATTTTTGAGTTACCCAGCCATGACCCTGGGTCTTCAATCTTGGATGCATGTCAGAATCACCTGGGGACATCAGCGACATCCACATTGACCTCCAAGCCCTGCCTCATAGACTCAGGCGTAGCTGCTCTAGAACTGGGCTAAAGCACAGACCTTTGTCTTTAAATCTCTCCTCTTGATTCTAACCTATAGTCAAATTTAAAAATTGTCACTTAGGGGCTGGTGAGATGGCTCAGTGGTCTAAAGCACCTACTTAGAACAAGCTAAACTAAGCAAAACACAGGGACTGCGGTTCAATCCCCCAGCACCACATGCCAGCCAGCCCCGCCTCCTGGTGGGCTGAGCTGGCCACACACACACTAAATAAATAAATAAATAAATAAATATTTTTTTAAATAAATAAATAAATAAATAAATAAAAATTGTCACTTAACTCCATGCTCCCACAAACGTCGGCACGTACCATGAGATGACTTTAGGGGACACGTGGACAAATCCGTATTCCATGTTTCAACAACCACATATTCCAGCCAGTGAGCATTTGGAAAGACAAACACTGGTATGGCCAACTCCAGTCTCAGGGATGTTGGTCAAAATGAGACAAATGTGGTCAGCTGTGTAGGCAGAACATTCCAGCCCAGCCACAAATTTCCCCAGCCTTCACGAGCCCAGACCTTCTCAGCAGCTGCTGAGGGCAGAGCTTAGTAGATGCTACAGGCCATGGGGTCCCTAGCTATTGAAGGATCCCATCCATCAGTACATCTTTTTTTTTGTTTTGTTTTGTTTTGTTTTGTTTTTAGTACATCTTTTAAGTAGACTTTATTTTTTTTTTTAGTTTCAATTTTTTTTATTTATTTTTTTTTATTGTTCAACAAATAATACACTGCATATGTTCTTCTTAGTGGTTAATTGCTGTACAAGATG